AATATTCGCTGTTTCCATTCTCACGGACCTGATCTTCATCATCTTTTCTTCCTGTAACCATCCATTGTCTGTCTCTGCCTCCTTTCTTCTAGCCAATTTTCAAGGTATGAGAGCCATGTTGAAAAGATGAAAGGCTGACATGAACGGCCTTAAGGAGCCACAGACACGATAGTCCTGTTTAGACCCCCCCCCCCCCAATCCCTTATCCGTTGTTGTCATGGGGGAGCTTAGGAGACGGAGACTGAGGCCCAATCCCAGGGATCACCCCTACCCTGGGCCTGTTGAAAGAATGAAATGCAGATAATTGTGCCAGTCATGAATGGCCTATGGAAGCCATGGGTACAATATTCCCCTATTTAATTGTCTAGGACCTCAAGGGACCCTGAGGAGTGGACCATTTCTGTCCCCAACATACTCCAGTCTTACCATGGCCAGTGATGAAAATTTTTTACCCCTTCTAGGTGCAATGACATTTGATTTTAATGACCCCGGTTCCAAGACCCCAGGCTCTCCTTTGATCACGACTCTGAACACTACTACTACCCAGTCTTTACTGCCAGTCTTTACTCAGTCCAGTCCAAATCATCCACCAGGTCATTACTCAACCTCCAGGAAACATTCCTCCTTTCTCATGATCCCCTACTTCATCATCTGCTGTGTGGTGCAGCGGTAGCGATCTTGTCTAGCAATCTTGCTGACCTGTGTTCAAATCTCTCACCGCCAGTGGATGGTAACCTCAGCCATTCCTTGCACACAGGGGATAACTTAGAAGCAAAATGAAACAGACAGAACGTCACACCAAGAATATCTATTGTTACAAATGGAATCAAACTAAACCTTTCCTTTCTACTACTCCCTCCTCCCTTATTACTACTTTGCAGCCTTATTATCCATCTCTCTGCAGTATTCAAAGCCATTCCTACTTCCACAAGGCCCTGTCTTTCTACTACCCCCATCTCTACAAATCTTTTGAGTACTTTGTTTAGCCCAGCCAAATGGGATCGATTTTTCGTGATGATCCCCTAATAAGCAAAGTTTCCTTCTACAGTCATCCTTGTTCGTTCCTGCCTTGTCACAGCTACATCCAAATCACAAGCTAAAGCATTATCATTGCTAACTAACTTCACTGGCAAACCTATTCCTACCCAGCCTCATCCCTCCCTCAAACATGTATTCCATCTCCCAGACAAACTGCCCTGTCTAGGTTAGGATTGGTCAAATTGTGGAGAAGACCTACTTGCCTGCCCCTTCGACTATGATGCAGTATCAGTACAATGCTACACAATTCCCTCTTGGAGCCACATAAGTCCTCCACTAACATTCCCAAGATTACTCTCTGTAAACATGACCTCCTTGATGCTTATATTGGCGAAGAGTTCCTCCCTGCCATGTCAAATTCCTCCGTCAATGTCAAAATTGTTGGCATCTAGGCCACCCTGCTAAACACTGCTGCTCCATATCCTGATGCCTTTTATGCACCCAACTTAGTCATGCATAATCACACACATGCTAATTGTGGTGGCTCCCGTAAGGTATTTTGTATGAGTTGCCCTACCTACAAGTTTGAGTCTGAGGTGGCAAATCTCAGATGCAAACTTGTCCTCACTTTACTGAGGCTAGACAAAAAGCATGCAGACAAGATTTTTCTCTTACTCCATACTCCAGTGCTGTCCTTGCTCTACAACTCCCCCTACCCCCTAAGATCTTCCTCATTCCACTTAATGCCTCCCTCTCCCAATTAAATTCTTTAGCCATTCCAAATCAAGACACCCCAATCTCCACAAGTATTCCAGACACTTCATTCTCTACTTTCCTGGTACCTACCTCTCTTCCTCCTCGTTCAATTCATCACATAAGACAAGCTAAACATTTCACCCCCTTCTTCCGCATCCTCTCCCACAGCAACCTCTTCCTTCGCCCCTCATATGTGTGTTCCCTCCTCTCCCCCTGTAAGAAAACCTTTGTTTCTCAGGCTTCCCCAACCAACTCGACTTCAGAAACACTTAAAGATATTCAAAACTATCTAATCATGACCCAAGTTAATATGCCTACACCCCTTCCATCGTCCAATCTCTCTGTTCCCATTCCCTCTACGATCCCTCTACGATCAAAGTAACTGCTGACATCCATCCTCATCCTACTCATGTTCTCCCTACACCCCTTCTCCCCACTCCCTTCCAACACATCCCATTTCCCCCCTGCTTCAGCTGCATCATCTTCCCTTTCTTCCCAATTATCCCTGCCACTTCCCCCTGGATACATATATGACTCCCTTATGGCACAACCCCCTTCCTTTGATTCTTTCCCTCCTGAAACTGATCTAATCTTCCTTAAACCCCCCTTTCTCCTTTTACTAAGCCCTAATCCCACACTTCTTCCTTTGACAACTTTCACCCTGAGCGCTTCTTTTACAGACATTCTGAACCTCCCGACCTTTTATCTCTAAATATGTGTCCGGGTAGAACTTGGACTGCCCTTGTTTTTGCCATACCAACCATAACTCCATCACAATTTTGTTGGCGAAATAGTTTCCTATTTCTGTCTAGCTGTCTGGCGTCGGATCCATAAACTGTCAGGCAAACATCCCCCTACCCTGCTCCCATCTTCCAGATTCATGGTACTCTCATCTCAGATCCTCTTCAAGATGCAACTGAACTTGGTGCCTATTGCAGCCAGGTCATTAATGGCCTACTTTTCTGCCATTAAGTCTGCCAGAGAATTCAATTCATCTCCTCCCTGTTGTCTGCAGTCTTACAATGCTCCTTTTTCTTCCTCTGAACTTAATGCTGCTTTACAGTTGTTCTCCAGCACCCACAAAGACCCAGACGGTATGCATTACTGTATGCTCTGAGACCTCCCACCTATGTCTCTGACCTTTCTGTCATCTATCTTCAGCCGTATTTGGAAATTTTCTTCCCCATTAGTGTGAAGCCCTTTTTTTCCCCTTCTTGAAACCCAATGAATCTGGTGCCTTCCTTCAAGATTACCATCCCACTGCTTTGATTAGCTGCTTGTGCAAACTACTCTAGCGATGGTTCACTTCTACTTCATGTGGTATCTTGAATCTTGCAGCCTTGTCTCTTCCTCTCAGTTTGGATTTCATCATGCCCTAAGTGTAGTTGCTCCCCTTGCTCATTTTGAGATGCGTTACAATAATTTTCTTTGATCTAGAGAAGATATACCATATGGATATACCAATATGGCAGTACCATACTTTCCCATTCCTAAATCCGGCCAGGAAGAGGTGGGTGTACAAGAGCATGTGACAGAATATAGGGTGGAACATTTAGATTACTTGGTGCAACAGGTAACGTGAGAAGAGGAAGGGTAGAGATTGGTGTATCTGAATTTAGACTGGAAAAGGAATTTGAGTAGGGGGGAGTTGAGGTAGGAAGAGGTAGAAGAGGTACTTGGGGAGATGCTGAGACATACTGAAAAGATGGGAGAGGAGCAGAGCAAAGGGCAGCTTTGGAATAGATAAGAGAGGAAAAGCCTTGTAGGCATGCTTCCTCATGTAGAGTGATGCCTAGTTTGATTCTAAGAATTGCTACTTCAGATTCGAGCCTGTTGGCAGGGCAGCTCCTATTAAATACATAACGGGAGCCACCAGTTGGCAAATATACATGACTGAGCAGAGCAATTTAAACAGTCATGACCAGGTTGGGCACATAGAGGGAGCCAGCTGTGGAGCCAGTGTTTGGCTGGGTCGCTAAAATGCCAAAATGTTTCTGACATCAACAGGGAAAGGGTTAATTTGGTTGGAGAGGGCAGGACACTCAACCAATATAAACTTTATGGGGGAGGTCATGTCTATGGAAGCTATTCTTGGCAATGTTGGTGTAGGTCTTACACTGGCCTCTAGGAGGAATAGTGTAGCACTAAATCATAGTCAATGAGGCAGGCAAGCACCAGTCCTTGTCATAGACAGGGCAATCAGTTGGGGAGGAATGAGGTTAGACAGGAATAGGTCTGCCAGTGAGGCCAGGTAGGATAGATAGAACACAAGCTTGTGACTCAGATGTAATTGTGACAAGGTGTCAATGATGAAAAAGACTGTGAAAGGAAACTTTGCCTACTTGTTTTTGGAGACATTGTTGGAAGAGAAGGGTATTTTTAGAGTAAGGGGCTGCAAGGTGTTACTGAGTGAGGTAGTACTGTGGGGAGGAAGACAATAAGGATGAATGGTGGAAATAAGGGATGAGGGGGAAGACAAGAGGGAGACTGTGCAAGATGATATGTTGGGAGAGAGGAAGTTTATTCTGAAGTAATGAACTGGGTGAATGATTCAGAATGGATTCTACAACGAACACCAAAGAGGGGGTATAGTATCAGTGGTTGGATCTGTGATCAAAGGAGAGGTAGGGGTTGGGAAACCAGAGAAGTCAAATTAGATAGGCTAGTTGATCATGATACAAGCCTTAATGCCACTAATAAGGGTACAAAATCTTCATTATTGGTGAGCCTGAAATATATGGGGAAGAGAAATGGTCTAGCCCTCAGGGGCCCCATAAGAGGTAAAGGCTAGTTAATTAACCAAGGGAATAGCTTGCCCATGGCTCCTGGAGGCTGTTCAGAAGTGACACAAAGCCAGCCTTTCATTCTTTCAGCATGGCTCTCACGCCTTAGGAAGTAGACAGAAGGGATTGAAAAAGAGAAGGAAAAGACCATGAAAAATTACTTGAAGTGAGGGTAGAGGTCCAAGGTAGGGGTGATCCCCTGCATTGGGCTTCAAACCATCTCCTATGCCCACACCATGATAACAACAGGCATGGGTTGGGGGGGTAAAAAGATCATATAGTTCATATAGTTCCATCTCATAGGGGAAATGTCTTAGGTGATGATACATGTCTACAATTCATCATCATCCTTAACTGTAAGTGTAAATGCCAGTTTTCTTCTTATTAAGCTTAATCACAATTAAATCTGTAACTCATTAAAGAACTACAATTTGGAAATAAACTGGGACCAGTTTCTTAACTCAGGAAAGAGAATCTACATAATAGCTTTCTCAATAATATATATCTGACCAAAAGTTGCTTCATCTTACAAAAGTACAGAAAAAACAACTTTACTGATAAAGAAAAAATAATATATCACTCATTTATATATTTACACAGGCATTTTCATAAAAATCCACAAAAATAGACTTTCCATCACTGTATCGAAATCTGAACACCATTTAACTCCCAGAATGTGGTTGAACATGAGTAAATTTTCATATTTTACAAATATGTTTCAACCTGAAAACATATAAAACATTTGTTTATGCCTAAAGGTGCAGGAAGTGGCATATATGATAAAAAAAATAAAGATATCTGTAATATAGTATATATCTTTTTGCATTTTCCTTTTTTTATAATTTTTATAATAATATGTTCACACATTATTCAAAATTAATATTTTCCACAGAGACACCCTTAGCCTTGCCCATCTAGTGCATAGCATCCAGGTGTAAACATAAATGTTTGACTTCTACTTCTACAAAACCTGGCTAGAACTGTGTACCTGCTTCTCTTTGCACTGTACTTTTTACCATAAACTATAACCTCTATAAGGACAGTAATCAGTAACACATGCTTTCTACATTTGTATGATCTGTGGTCATTTTTTGTGTGCATGGGGATTCAAATTAACAAAATAAGCTCAGTTGTTCAAAGTTGAGATGGGACATAAAGCCAGAGGGTTAATCATGCAGTATGCTTGTGGTATACTACATTTTAATCTTAAATGTGGTAACAATCAATCAGCGTATATTTCTTCTTCGTCATCATCATAATCATCTGTGTGAGCAGGTAAGTAGCAATTGTCCTCTTCATCCGAGTCCAAGAGATGCTTATCAACATTGACATCCCTGTACTTCAAACATGATGTTTTGGGAGGTAAACCAATTTCCAATTTTGTATTTTTCATTTGTGCAAGTGCTTCCGCTGTCTTTTTCATCTCTCTTTCCTTATAAAAGGAAAAGGAAAAAAAAAAAAATTATATACTATCCATGCAAAAATATAAGTGCAATAATTTTCATCAGTAACTACCCTTCTGGTATTTTCAGACTATATTGAAAATGTCAAAGGATTCCAAAAAGTGTTTCAAAATATTATAGCCATCAAGCACTTGCAATCACTCACCTTCATTTTGGAGAGATAGCTACGTTCTAGGGTTATAGACTCCTGTAGTGATATCAGTTTGACTTGGCGGTCTGACTTTGGTCTATGATTATCTATTATATTTTGGATATCAGGAAGAGGCTGAGGATGTTCAAGTCGTCTGAAAAAGGAGACCATGGATGGTATAAACAGATAGTACAAGGTAAAACCTGCCTTCTTCAAAGTGAAAGATATATTATGGTGAACTGTTATATTATGCATTACTAATAGAAGCGACATACTCTAAAAATTACTGAATACTTAATTATCTAGTTCTCCTCTATTATTTATTTATCATCCTATTCCTAAGCTTTAAAGTAAAAAAGGCATAAGTTTTATACATGAAATATTTACTTTTAAAAATCTGTCAGTCATACCTAAATGGTTTAAAAGGCTCTCTGACTTCACCGTTCCTTAACCGCCGTAACTCTAACATCTGAATGCGCTTTGTCCCAAAATCAAGCGCAGAATGGCTGGGGACTTGATTCTGAATGGTGGCCTTCTGTTCATTTCCTGAGTGTTCTCGATGTGTAGAGCTGTTGCCTCTTCCTTCATTGCTTCTTTCTCTCTCACTGTTTGCAGACTCTTGTGCATCTCTCAGTTCCATCTGCTTCAGTTCACGGGATATAACATCAGCTGGGTCTTCCTCTTCAGACCTGGGTATTTGTATAAGGTCTTTCATTAAAATAGAGAGATAAAGGGGAGGGATGACAATGGAAAAGCAAGAAGTAAGAAAAGAGCAAAGAGAAGAGAGAATAGAGGAAAAATAGTAAAAAAAAAAATATATATATATAAATAAAATAAATAAATGAATAAAACAGAAAAAGCTTTAGTTTTCAATATCAATAAAACTAAATAAGTTGCTTCTTAAAGTTTACTAAGCTAAATAATTATTAAAAACTAGAAATTTCCTGCTTTATACACATTGGAGTAAATGCCTAGTAATAAGAAAACAGCATCAAGAATTTTAATACATTAACACTGTGCAGCATTTAATACTGTGCTTTTATAAAAACTGATAAACAAAGAAAATAGAGCACTCTAAAACTGAATATTCTTTCTGTATTCACAACATAAAAAGATATCTCATTCTAACAATTCATAGCAGGTACACAGTATTTTTTTGTAAATTTTGCAGCATGCAGATAGCTACACCAGTGCTCGGCCACCTGGGAACTAATTAGTAGGCCCTTCTGACCTCACCAGATTTCCCCTTTTCCTGAATTTGTGGGAAAATGTGTTTTCCTTTCTAATACCATTAACCCAAGGTGCGCAGGTGGCATCACTAAGATGTCATGGCGATGCCGGGCCGACGAATGAATGTGACGTGGTTCCATCCACCCCGAGATGGCGCCCATGAGCAGATGTGGACACCTCTGATTTTGCCAGAGATGCAGGTAAGCATTCATTCATACTTTATCAGTGTGATTAGTTTTAGCAGATATTAAGTAAAACAACTGAAGTTTTTGCAGGCTTAGCAATTCCTATGAATATATGCAATGATCTTTCAGGTGTTCCTGGGCCTGCGGTATGTAATGGGAGCATGCCCTAAACCTCAACAGACCATGTACTGGCCTGTTGATGAGGTGATAGTTACGCCTTTCTTCGGAAAAACTATGCTGAGAGATCATTATGATCAGATCTCTCAAGGATAAATCAGATAAGCGAAGTTGAGCCTCACCCGGGCTATGCCCATGAGGGGAGCCTGGGCTGTATCAACTAATGCCAAATTGCTAACGTGTATCAGCTGGTGCTGACTCGCTGAGCTTAGTCCTTACCAGCCGGGGTGCCCAGCCACAGCAGTAACCTCCAGGTGACAATTGCAAATTCTCACACCTTGGCTGGGCACAAACTGGCAACCCCTCGGATGAGAGGCTGCCATGCTACCACTGTACTAGCCCGGAGGCATCAGATCTCTTCTATGCTACATTTCATGGATAACATGGGTGACCACAACAGGCTATTTTCCAATGTTCACCCAATCACAAAAGATTACTGTGGATGAAAGCCTGTGGAAATTTAGGTAATCTGCATATTTTACATACTGCGACTTGTGTTTTGATCTCTGCCGTATACCTGTGACCTCATTTTGAAGTGAGTTGCTTACTAACTCCATTTTCTCATATACTGCAGAGGCCAGCTCGGTTTTGTGCAAATACAACCCATCTAAAAGGCCGAGATTCAGCCTAAAGATGTACAAACTGTGTGTATCTGATAGGGCTGCAGCAGGTTACACCTGTGCCTTCTGGCTATACAACAATAAAGACAGGGGACATGCCTGCTTCACAGAAGGCTGTACTTAGCCTTATGGAAACAGTGGGCCTTTTAGGGAAAGGGTAGAAATCGTACCTTGACAACTGGTACAGTTCCCCTACCTTGTTTCATTTGCTAATGGCCCACAAAACTAATGTTGTTGGTACCGTATGTCCCAATCATAGGTTTATGTCAACAGATTTCCCCCAGAAGCTGAGGAGATATGAAATAGCCTGTAGGGGCACATCTACCAGTCTCATGTGCTTGAAGTGGGAAGCTATGCGAATGCTGCACATACTTTCCACAATACACAACAGTGAAATGGTGGAAACCGGGAGGGTGGCCTGGAATGGGGACACTGAAAGGAAATCAGTCATTGTTGTTGATTACAACATCGGCATGAAAGGGGTTAATGAGGGAAATGAACTCTCCCTATTCCTTTACTGTCTAGAGATGGCGACAGTCAATGCCTTTCTGATTCGAAAGTTTGTTTGGTGGACCAATCCAAAAGCAGTACAATAGCAGTAGCAAAGGAGCTGCTGAGGGAATATCTTCCTCAGATACATCCCTATGCCACTAGCCGCCCTATCTAGCATAGCCAGGAGAAAATGACTTGCATTGTTGCCCACCAACATTTCCTGAAGAAACTG